AAAGTCCCACAACACCAGCACTTTTATTTAGATTGACAATAACCTAACCATAACTTGAAGTGTGAACAAGCTAAACAGCTCAATGATTTAATATACAGGCAAGTAACTAGTTGTGTAAAACCCAAACAAGAATGAAAAAATAAGGGAAAAAAAAAAAAAAAAAAAAAAAAAAAAAAGTCCCACAACACCAGCACTTTTATTTAGATTGACAATAACCTAACCATAACTTGAAGTGTGAACAAGCTAAACAGCTCAATGATTTAATATAACTGGAAGAAATGCTTTCCCTTCACTTTTATAGAGATTGAATTTATTGATATTAGTATCTGGCTTGTCAAAGTGGCAACTATTCAAATTTAAAAGTATCATTTATTTTTAATAGGAAGAAAAATTCTGACCACTTACAGTAAATGTAACTTTCTTGAGCCAAAACAATGAAAATGCAAGATAAACCTCAAAGGTTTTATAATTATTGGTGGCATTCTAAAACCACTACACAAAAGGTTGTTGGGAGGGGGTTTCTCCATTAGTAGATCAATCCCTTTCCAATCAATTTTTATTAGCAGTGGTTCATGGCATTAATTTTTAAGACAAGTTCTTAGAAAGTTTTAATCATTTCCAAAATGAGAAGTCTCAAGATGATGGACTCAAACACTACCACACCAATGTAATGTTGCTATGGAGGTATTTACAGAAAGATGCCCAGAGCTCAGCTAGGAACACAAGTTAACATACAATAGACTATGAAACAATAATTTGTTTATATAGTATGGCAAGGAAAAACATTCTGTGTAAAATGTCTAAAAATTCAGCTTTAACTTTAGTCCACTTCTATAAATCATAAAAACAAAGGAAAATAGGAATTTATCTCAGAAACTCCATATACCTATGGAAAACGAACACCAGTAACTTCTGTTCAAGATTAATCTTAATCCCAAATAGAGTACAGCTAACAACTCACACATTTTAAATTTTGAAAACACTGTGGACATCTGAAACATACGGGCTGATAGTATTTTATGATTGATAAACATTTCCTGTTAAGTACCACAAATATATTCAATATAAAAGATGCAAACTGATGGTTCTCAGAATTTTAGAATATTTTCATTTCAAAGCTTCAAAGTTAGAGCATACGTATAGGATGGGCTTTAAAACTGACTATATAAGTAAACTTTTCCATGATCTTGGTATATATGTTTTCCTTCCTCAAAGAAATGCCTACTGCTTATGATGTTAAAGAATCTTCACCATTCTGTCTGTAAATTTTAACCAGAAGTCCTCCATGTACCTGAAGCCAAATTGAATATTAGGTATTTTACAGCTTTTACAAAATGGCTGTAAATCACATTATGGGCATACACAGCTCTTTGATCTCACTGCACAGAATTCATAACTGTTCAATAATGCTATACCATTATACCACACACCTTAAACTATTTCCATTTTTCCACAATTCCTTCCAAAATCAGCTTCCAAAGCAAAGCAATGTAACATGAAAAGTTCCTGGGAGGGCTTGTTATACAAAAGAACAGCTTGGATGCAAACTAAGCTATATGCATATTCATCTACTGTTGAGCTTGTTTATCCCTCCTCTCCCTCCATCCCTCCTAAAGGTGGGTGCATTTGAGTAATGGAAAGAGAAGGCTCTTCCATCACCACACCCTTCCAGCACCTCTGCTTTTGGTCCTCCGAGAGTCTGGGTAGGTGATGAAAACCATAAGAAAAGAGAAGCTGTCCCTTTAAAATGCCCAGCTCTGTCCCACATCCCACGTGGAACCAACATCAGCAGCACTTTGCCATTAACATCAATGTGATGCAAGAGGCACCATCCTTTTATATAGATAAAGTCAGAAAACTTCTGCTTAACATTCCTTAGTGAGGATGAACAGGTGAAGCAAACGTGTCAGGAAGGGAGAAACTAAGCAATTCCTTACCCCTCCCCAAAAGGTACTCCAGTCCTGCACTCCAGCCTCTCTGTGCAACATCACCTCTCTACCCCTCCTCTGGAAAGCCCAGTTTAAATAAAGGAGGGAGCCACTAACAAAACCTGAAGCATAAATGCGACGAAAATGCAATCTAAAGCCGGAAAGGTTTATTCTTCCAATCACACATATTAACTCTATTAAGAAAATGGCATCACTTTTTTTCCACCAAAAAAAAAAAAAACCAAACCTCACAAAGATCATTAAAAAGGAGTTATAAAATACCAAATATAGTGTTTATCTTATCTCAGATCAGTCCACATTACCAATAAGTTTAGCAGTTTCTGCACTACTACCTCCCCCTCCTTCCCCCTGCTTCTCTTGCATCGGATTTTCACGTTTTCTCATTGTCGGTTGAGTTATAAAAGGCTTTTGCCCTTCGAAAGTTTTAAAAAATAAATAAATATTAACTCCTTGGTCCCTGCAAAGTCAAAATGGACTTCAGGAGAAAGGCGGTTCATACTTTTACCTTTAGCGAGAAAAGGGGGAGCATCCCGGATTTTTAGGGATTTTTTGCGATTTTTTAAAAATTTTTATTTGGTTATATGCCTGAGTTCTCCCTCCATTTTGGTTGTTTATGATACTGACAACAAGCTGTCCCTGCTCTGTGCCGATCTCCTGCTTTCATTTAACACCCCCTCCCCCTCCCCCCCCCTTCGCAGCCACACACCCCGGGCTCACACCTCCCCGCAGACCCCGCACCCCGACCCCGACTCGCCCACCTGAGGAAAGGGCAAAAACAAATTCATTTCTCCAGAAAAGAAAAACCTCTTTTGAAAAAGGGGCAAAGTTACCCCAAGTCACTCAAAGTGCCCCCCAAATATTGCCGACTGCGGGTTTCCGCCAGGCCCTTTGGGAAGCGACCTTCCCCCGGGATGTTTTGGTGGAAAATGCGGAGACTTTACTCTCAAAACTGAATTTATATTAATTTTTCCCTTATTTTTCGGGTCTCTAATGTCTTCCGCTCTCGCTGCTGCCGCTGCCGCTGTCACAATATTCACAGCACCAGAGAGGAGGAGGAGGAGGAGGAGGAAAACTTTTCAAACTTTCCAGACCCTGAATAAAGGTTTTTTTTTTTTCCCACCGACCTCACCTTCGGGTCCCCAGTCGCATCGCCCCCTGCCCTGTCAGATGCGACTTCGGAAGTCCTCGCAGCCCCGCTTAATTATTTTATTTTATTTTTTATTATTATTTTTCCCTCTGGGGTCCTGAGCAGGGGCTGAGAGAAGCACAAACTTTTCCTCCTCCTGCCGCCGCCGCTGCTCCTCTGCCCCCTCAGCTAGTCCCATAATTTAAATAACCCTGATATTTCTCCCGCTAAACGCCTCTCCGCCGCCCCGGACCCCGGGAGAACTCACCGCGGGGCTTTAACATCCTCCCTCCGGCCCGTCCGCCGCCTTTACACCGCCCGCGGAATTTCTAATAATTTTTTTCTCATATTTCGGGCTGGACGCGGCGGGCCTGGAAATTGTTTCCTTACGCCTCTTTCCAGCAGCCATTGTAGTGTATGCGCTGCCCCTGCAGCCCAACTTGCAGCTGCCGCTGCCGCC